CACGTGTCACGACCTTATTGGCGCGTGACCTCACACATATTTTGAAAAGCTGGTAAAAAAAAATGGTGTGTACTAGCTACATTTTAGAAAGGTTGTATGTGTAATATTATTATCGTCCACAGAAAATGTGTAAGGGGGATTTGGGCTATATGTTAGGTGAGTACTTATGTATTTTGCCTTAAAAGAATAATGTCAAATATCTTACTATAAAATCATCTATTGCTCATGTACTCATACTAAATAAAAATATTTTATTAAATTGTTAAAAAAATGGTCAGTTCTTGTTTGGTTTTATTTTTTAATCGTATATGTACAAAATTTTGTTTTCCCTTTAACTGTGCCTTTCTTCACAAATATTAGCGCTTCATTTGTGCATTGCGCTATCTATCAACAAAATCTGCAAGTTAATAGTAGCAATAGAGCAAACAATGAACTGAAATAAATTCTCAATATATCAACAAGAAGAGAAAATAGAGCACCCATTAAAATTAGTACCTCGTAAGTACATAGTAGCAGAGTATAAAAGAACGGAAAAATAAGCACTTTATTACTGATGCCATAATGATGCAGTAATAAAATGGCGATTTTATCATATAATATGGCGGTTTCGATTTTGTTTAAAGCTTTTTAACATACATTTTCTGGTTATTTGGAAGAAAACATCACTAATAAAACTCCTGCCCCAAACATCACCCATACATTTTGTTTCGATTCTCTCTTCTCTCCTAACCTCTCCACTTTCTCACTCCTCTTCGAAACACAACATTCACGGCCAGCAGAACCTTTGATTCGGCAATAAATACGAAGCTTCTGGTCTACGATAAAGCTCGATTGGAGTTTGCTAATCTCAGTCGCGCCTTCAGTAATTTCAACTCCCAACTCCAAGTAAAGTTCAGCCAGGTCCTCTCCATCTTTATCTCCTTTCCGCTATGTGTAAATTATGTATTGATGTGGATCTAGGGTTTTATTGTTGGTTTGCTTTACTCTTGTCAAGTTATTTGATTTTGGCAAACCTATTGTAACCTACTGTTCTGAAATTTGGAGTAGTAATCACACATTTTGAGAGCTTAATGTGGTTATTTACAACGATCTTCGTTTCCTCTTCCTCTCAAGGTAAACCGTCCTCTCTGTTTTCCTTCGCCTCTATAATTTTTGCGATATGAATTGATCTATATATGTGATTTTTATTTTGTTTAGAGGCATGTTCGATTAGATTGTAATTTTAGTTTTTTTTTGCTGTTCTTTAATCAAACGATGGTGAATTTCTGTAATTGACATCCTGCTTCAATTAATTCTTGTGTACAATTCTAAATTTTGCTTGTGGAACTTATGAATTTGTTGAGCTAATCTTTGGTTGTTTTTTTGGGGATTGGACCGGTTATGGTGACTTTTCTTCAATTGACAGAAGTATAAGATTATAGACTTGTGAATTGATGACCTAGTGTTTGATTGATTGGGAAATTTAAGTATTTGCGTTGAGGAGCTTGATTTGATTTAAGTTAATTGAAAACCACCACAATAATCGCTCTATTAGCCTAGTTCTTTAGTCGCCAGATTGTGCATTCGTAAAGCGACGGTTTAGCATATAATACAGAGTTCTTATGGTCGTTTTCTGGTCTTATTCTCCAGAAAATTTGATTTTGAAAAATCAACGCGTCTGTGGGAACTGATGCTCAAGTGGATGATGGTATTTGGTGCAGTCACTATCATGAGGTACAACAACAACAACAACAACAACCCAGTGTAATCCCACAAGTGGGGTCTGGGGAGGTTAATATGTACGCAGACCTTACCTCTACCCCGAGGGGCAGAGAGGCTGTTTCCAGGAGACCCTCGGCTCAAAGAGGCAACAAGAGACACTATATTAGTACTATCAATAGACTCATAATAAAACAACATAAAAATAACATAAAATCCATAACATAACATAAATACCATAAAATAACTAAGTAACAACAATATAAGAGATATAGAAAATACGAGAAAGATGTTAGGTATTAATACACAATAGATAAAGCCCATCATCAGTAGTTGATCAATAACATCCTAAGACTAATTCCTAACTGGCTAGTCTCACTCTAGTGCGCTGTAGAAAAGACATCACAATTTCCCCTAACCTACAACCTTAATGCTCGATCTCTACAATTCCCTGTTTAGGGCCATGTCCTCAGTAACCTTAAGTCGCGCCATATCCTGCCTGATCACCTCTCCCCAATACTTCTTAGGTCTCCCTTTACCTCTCCTCGTACCCACCACCGCCAGTCGTTCACACCTTCTCACCGGTGCATCAGTGTTCCTCCTCTGAATGTGCCCGAACCATCTGAGTCTTGCTTCCCGCATCTTGTCCTCCATGGGGGCCACACCCACCTT